GACACCTTGCTTACGGTGCTCTTACGATTTCTTCCTCTTTTGTGCCTCATTTAACAAAAGCAAATCACTCTCTGGGTGTTATCCCAAACAGTTTAGGATGTCTGTCTCTGGAGCTTAATCCTATCCCAGTAGATTGTTTAAAAATATTTAAAAATGTAGACTTGATATTCTTCTACAGCAGGCTTCTTCTGCCCTTACTAACTGAGGTCTGGTCTCAGCTGTGAGGAGAGAGCACAGCTTCCCAGCCCAGGCCTTAACACCCTCCCCAGGCTACTACAAATCAGTACTGTTTCGTCCCATGTAACACAGTTTTTATTAGAACACACTGTTTCATAAGCATATTTTTGCCATGAGAACATATTTTATTTTTTAAAGATACTAAAACGTAGTGTTTCAGGAAGTTTGAGCTTTCTTTGCCAGGCTGGAAGAATATTATTGCAATGCATTTTTGTGTTTGAAATAAATCTTAAGGAGGATATTGACCTTATTTCAGTGGTTATTTTGTACTGCTCTTGAATGTCAATTGCATCCAATTAACCATAGAAACTCAAAACCTAAAGAAAATGTTTCATTTTCATAATGTTTCCATTCAGCCCTCAAAAAAAACCAAGAGGAAACTGAAGCAACCTCAGTTTCCCCCCATTTTGAATAAAAACTATCCCTAAGCTGAGATGATTTTTCATTTAAACCTGGGTTTCTAAAGAAGAAAGCATAAAGAAAGAAATGTTACATTTCTGTCTGCTTAGAGTTGATTACTGGTGGTATACATTGGAGAGCAGTGTCCACTTGTTTTTTAAAAAATATTTAAAGAAGACTGAACCTAATTTGGTCACCAGATTACTGACTCCTTCTGCCAGCTGTGAACCACAGGTAGCCAAACCTGATCCCACCCTGCCAGAGCAGCAGGTTTCTATCAGGTGTGCATTTAAAAACTGCCCTCGGCAAGCAAAGGCAAGACAAGCAGTCATGTCAGGTCGTGCAACTCTGACCAGCCACCCCCTCGATGGGCAGCACAGGAGGAAGTTGGTCCAACCAGCCCTGTCCTTAGCCTGTTGCTTCTCCTATTTCAGTAGCCAGAGTCACCTCCCTGGCACAGTTTTCCTTTTACCCATGTCTGAGGAGCCAGCAGGGAAAAGGCAGCAGGGAACAAGGTGCAGAAAATGTTGTTTGCTGGGCTCTTTTCAAAGCCATGCCATTTGCATAATTAATGTTCCATATTTTCTACCTATTCCCAGCTGTCACATGAAACTTGGCATGTGTCAGCTCTCCTGGGCGTAAGGAAAACAGTTTGTATATTGATGAGACATTTACAGGTGCTGTTTGTCTTCATTTCTCATGCTTCTTCCCTGATAATGACAGAATTAATACCAGCTTGTTATTTTATATGCTTTTACTATTTTAATCTTCTCAACACACAAATAAGACTCAGTGGTACAAATAAAGAACCCTCTGAGGAGGAAAACAGTTTTATTAAGAAATCTGTATGCCATGACAATGGTACAGACTTTCTTGTCACATGATGTGTGTAATTTAAATGAGTTAATAAAGAAGATGTCTTTTGGGGATTTCTGGTCTTCTGCAATAAGTGTCCTAGAGCTTGGAGACAGAGTTGAGATACATTTGGTGGGACCTTATTTGGGTGTTCAGAACACTGCTGCCTGCGCTGTTCCCTTCCTGAGAAGGATGAAAGATCTCAGTAACGGGGTTAGCAATCCAGAGCTGCCTTTTGATTGTCCATTGTATTGGTAAGAATCCCAGGGAGCACACGGATTTCACTCTGATGGTGTAATTTGGCTTCACAGGTGTTTCTTGAGAAGGATGGGCTGTGTCCAAAAGTGTCCAAAAGGCTTCTTTCTTTGATTCCTTCCAGAAGTCTTGGGAAGTACAGTGATGGAAAGGACTCATCTACTATTTAGACTGCATCTCAGCCAGCAACTGCAGCAAATGGTGTTGTGCAGGTCAAAATGGTGTGCAGCCTGCTGAAAGTTGTTGAATTTCTTTGTGGTAAAGGCAGGCACTGGCTGCATTCACCTACAGGGCTGCAGGGAGCTGGCCATCCCTGCACACCAATTCTTTTGCTCACATGCTTTTCTTTTGTAGGTGCAGGGGAAATAGATGCCCATGAAACTCTCCTGTATTTCTGGAATCTGGGGCAATTTATTTAGGAGAGGCTTTGGTTGCCTAACATGAGGCATCTTACAAAAGAATCTTGATTTTCAGAGATTCAGAAAGCTGAGCACTTTCCCCAAAAATCAAATCTGTGATAAGATGCCCTTTTTTGGATATTCAGGGTCACTATCAATTTTTTAAAAGAGAGCCCAAAGCTATTTGGTGGCTTTTTGAGGATAACCAGTTCAGTGCATTATAGATTTTTATGGCTTTATTTCCCATTGCTATTTCCCTCTGGCAGTACATTTATGCTGTTGAATGACAAGCACCATTGAAAGCCTGCTGTAGTGCTTGTTTGCCAAATGAAAATCCCACCATCTTACACAGTTGTTCTTGCACCTACAACTGAGGACATATTGAGGTTACTACCAAGTGCAGTAACAGGAGGTGTGTAGCAATTCCCTAAACTGTTTCAGGTCCTTCAGGTCATAAGAGGTAAAATACTGACCTGCTGATTCTTTGGTTAGTCAGTATACAAAAATATTTTAGTTGGCAGGAAAGCAGATACCTAGCAAGCTTTTCTCCCCCTCTATTTTTCCTAAATTCTCATCAAGGAATGAAAAACGTTTCGATTCTATAGAAAGATGTTTATGGAAATGAAAAGAAGAAATAAAGTTCACAGGACCTAATACATTTTGGAAACCACATGGTGAGTGCAACAGTTGAAACTGTTTTGCTGATAATACACGTCCCTGTGCTCATTTCTCAGGTAAGAGAAATTTACTTAGTGTTCCAGAGAAACCCCCTGCCCCAAAATCTGTAAGGATTTCAGCTATTACTTGTCAGGTTTGTCTGATCAACCAGACAAACTTCTTTTGGGTGGTGTCCATAGCAGCACAGGAATAAGAGAAGAAATGTTTCCCTAAATTTTCTTGCTATTCCTGGCACTATTTTTCCTCTGCTTTCACCACTGCTTGCCTACATCCTGCTTTACAAATTCAACCATTAGGGGGGGCATTTCCACTGTCAGCAGCTCAGATTTCATCTGTAGTATCTTGTGCCTGGGACAGATGCTGAATAGTGCTGGGATATGAGGTCTCTTCTGTTATCTCTAGTGCTTTCTTCTTTTATCAGCTCCATTGACATCCAAAATAGTACAAAGGGGAAAACCTGAGTCAAATGGTTACTTAAGGTCTTGGTCTCTATCTTTTTTTGTCATGTGTGATGTGTTAAATATTATCCAGCTGGAGAAGATGCTGATCAATTACTAAGTTATACAGTTCATAGCCAAAAGTGTGCACTCATTCTTTTTTTTTCTCATTTAAACAATTTGGAATCAGACAGCACTTCCAGGACAATTATCTCTTCCTGGCTTCGATGTCTGGGTAAAAGCAGTGACACATTTCCTGACACTGCAGTGGACCAGTTGTGTCTTATGATACAGCACTGGCATCTGTTCTTCAATGAGGTAAACCTTCACAGGGTCTGGGCTTCTTTTGCTGGCAATAGCTATTCTTTATGTGCCCTTTTTAAATCTAAACCACCTCAAACCTATCCTTTTGGGATTTCTGTATTACTAAGCCCATCTGGCAGGTGACCTGCCAAGAAGAAGGGCTAGGGGAGATTTGACTATGGCCTAATTAGAGAGGCCATAAAAAGTCTGAAGGACTTTACTGATGGCTGGTACCGGGAGACTGCCTGGCTTCTCTGTTGCTTCAGTCTCTAGGCTCCACTAACTACTGAGCCCCCCTCAGACCTGCTTCTGCAGATAGGACCCTTCAGGTACCCCAGCCCCAGCTCAGAGTCTGGACTCCCTTTAAATGCCTCTTTTATTCAGGGTTTCAAAAACTTCTGGAAAACTTCACTTTTGGAGACTCCAAATCAATGAACTATGCTTGAGGCAATAATGTCGTTATTAATTTTGCCCAATGTCCTTAAAAAATCTCTTTCTGTGAGAGTCTGATTCCATAAGAATATGAAATTTCAAAATATGTCATCATAGAGGGGAATCTTGAAAAACCTTGTCTACCTGGGCTTTGGGTTTTTTACATATTCCCTTTTCCAGGCCTGGTTGCAATTGTGTCTGTGTCTATAGCTAAGCCAGGGCTTTGTGGAGTCATTACTAAATAAAATACCTGCTACATTTAGTATAGGCTAAGGATCTAATTCCTCCAGTGACCTTGAGAGATGCTTGCCTTGAGAACTGTATATTAGTAAAACAGAGGGCTGTAGTATGGAAAAGGAACAGAACTGCACAGAATTACACCCATTGTCCAGAACCCCAAAAGCAGAGATTGCTGGCAGATGCCTCAAAAGTATCTGTTGTTAGGTCAGACAAATTGAAACAGCAGCTGGGAAGGCTCTGTTCACTGCCTCTCCTGTGATGGAGTGGGAGATGTGCCTAAAGGATAGCAGGGAGAGAAGGCTCCTGGGGATAAAAAATTTGTGAAAGACTACTGGACACTGAGAATGAAACTGTTTTCTGTTGTGTCAGAAAGGCTCTCATCAGAGTTCAAGCCTGGCCATTTGCACACCTGGCACCATTTGCATAGATTAATACATCACTCCTCAAACTCTCTTTCTTTCTGAAATAATAATTCCTGGCATTTCTTTGCTTATCAGCAGTGCTAAATTTCCTGTCCACATGGTTGGGAGTGACTTGCTTACTGCAAAGCACACACCAGTCTTCTACTGCTCCATCATGACTGGAATTTTCATGGCCTTGCTCTCTTCTTTCCTGAAGGATTTAGGTGTGCTGTCTCCCAGAATGAAGTGCTTTCCTTAAGGAAAAGGATTTCCTTACCCATAAGGATGCATTTAATGAAAATCTATGTCAGGTTTTAAGTGTACTTAGAGTGGGGGGGGGGGGGGGGGGGGGGGGTGTAATTTGACTTGCATGGATGTTTTATTTTACCAGCAGAGATTAAGGCATGCAACAGCCTAAAAGTTGACCCCCACAAGATGACCCTGCCTGGCTTACCCTGAACACAGGATGCTGCCTCTTAGTCTGCTAGTGTTGCATCTCTGTTGAGAAAATCACACAAGGCAGGTATAAAGTGAAAGACCTATGGGCTTCGTGGTGCCCAAGGACAAGCTCTTCTGGGAAGCACCTGTTTAATATTTGTCTTACTTTCTGGCAGAGACAAGAATTCCTTCAATTTGTTAAAGAGTAATAATATTTCCAGGTGCAAATAAGGGGCAACTTTCCCCCCAGTTTCTTTTAAAAGGTTAGCAAAAGAATAATTGAGATATTGAGAATAGTGGCTTCTAATCAGAATAATTAAATTCTAATTAGATTAATTGAAACTCCCTCTATGAGAAGGTGACATGTCTAGTGGATAAGAGAAAGGCTGAGTGTGTTGTCTAACTAGACTTTAATAAAGCCTTTGACTCTGTTTTCCACAGCACTGACCTGGAGGAACTGGCTGCTCATGGCTAGGAAGGTTGAACTGTTTGTTGGGTAAAAAACCAGATGGATGGCCAGGCCCAGAGGGTGAGGCTGAATGGAGTTGCATCCATCTGTTGTCTGGTCACCTGTGATGTTCCCCAGGGCTCAGTACTGGGTCCAGTCCTGTTTAATACCTTTATTAATGACCTGGACAAGGACAGAGAGGCTGGAAATCTCCCCGGAAGAAAAGGACCTAGGGGTGAACATGAGCCAGCAGTGCTCAGGTGGCCAAGAGGGCCAATGGCATCCTGGCCTGTACCAGCAATAGTGTGACCAGCAGGAGGAGGGCAGTGATTGTCCTCCTGTACTCAACACCAATGAGGCCACACCTCAAATTCTGTGCTCTCTTTTGGGCTTCTAGATGCAAGAAGGACTGTGGGGCTGGACGATGTCCAGAGAAGAGCAATGGAGCTGGTGGAAGGGTCTGGAGCACAAGTCTGATGAGGACCTGCTGTGGTGTTTAGCCTGGAGAAAAGGAAACTGAGGAGAGACCTCATCACTCTCTACAACTACTTGAAAGAAGGTTGTAGTGAGGTTTGTGTTGGTCTCTTCTCCCAGGTAACAAGCAATAGACAAGTCCAGCAAGTCTTGGACCCCAATAGTCCAAGACCTGAGACCACTCAAAACTTGAGTGGTCTCAAGTTGTGCTGGGAGAACTTTAGATTAGATATTAGGAAAACTTCCTTCACCAAAATGAGTGTCAGGCATTGGCACAGGCTGCCCAGGGAAATGGTGGAGCCACCATCCCTGGAAGTGTTCAAAAAATATGTGGATGTGGTGCTTAGGGACATGGTTTAGTGGTGGACTTGGCAGTGCTGGGTAATGGGTGGACACAACAGTCTTAGAAATCTTTCCCAACCACAACAATTCTATGCTTCTGTGATTTTCCTGTACAGGCAGAAGAAGCCAGCTAACAGAGAATTTATTCTTCAAGTCTGGTGCAAATGCTCTATGCTTTAACAATTTTCTCAAATGTGAAATGAAATAATGGACAATAAAAAGTAAATTACACTTTTGGTTTAGTACAAAATGGCCTTTATGGTTGCCAGCTTATAAAAGTTTGGTGGGCAAAGTAAACCCTGAGTGTAAGGGCAGTGTTGTATTTCAAATAAAATCTATTTTAGTTTTTGAGGACTGGTGTGATGCATAAATAAAATTTTTGTTTTGTGACCCTCTACATGCCAGAAAGCCTAATTCTTGGCAGGTTGGGAAGGAAAAAGAAGTCAAAGTTTAAGCCTCTTCAGTGGTCAGGAGACACAATGTTCGCGTTCCCACTTCCTCTCAGCCATGTCCCCAATGGGGCCAGCGCAGTTGTCATGTATGTGACTCATATATATTGTGCTGGCAAATGGGCTTGATCTCAGCTTGCTGCCAGCCTGCTCTTGTCCTAAATCTCTTGATAGCAGTGGGTGGGGGCATTCTGCCGACCTGTGCTTAAGGAACAGCCAGACCTCAGCTGCAGAATGTGCTAAATAATAAAAATGGAAGGGAATTAATAAAAATGGAAGGGAATTCACTGCCATAAGGAAGCAGGGCCCTGTTTGTATGAACCCTCTGTCCTGCTGAAGTTGAGTCCTTAGGATATGCCTTTGGGGCTCCTCCACAGTAAGTTTTAATACGAATGTGCAATTACAATGCTGAGATAAACTCCTGTATGGGAGAGCTGGCACTGTGAGATGTTCTGTCTGTCACAGCTTTACTGAGACACCCCAGGCAGCAGCCCTGCCCTCACTTCTCCAAAACAACGTTTATCACACACAAACCTTTTGCATAAGATGCTATTATTGTAAACGCAAAAATTTACCCTGTTTTTAGGATTCAGTGACACTGGCTGCTTTTTACTGCTGTGTTTCACATTGCATTGTAAAATAAAAGCTTCCTAAGACTTTAATGTCAGCTGAGGCACCTGCCTCATGTCTGTGTGCCCCGGCATTTAGAGTGGGACAGATGTCCCAGGAAAGCTGAATTGCTATGTCAAAGTGTTGAGCCCCTCTGGCTTACCTTGTCTTCATGGCCTTTCAGCGTTGAGCATTTTTGAGCTCTTACACTTGTTGCATATTCATTTGCAGTAATTAAGAACCACTTGAAATGGCGTACCTTTACAACAATAGTGCATACAGTGTGTATGGCCAAAGTGCAAATAGCTTCAGAGGAGGTTAAATCACAATTTTTCCAATATTAATATTAATGAGTCTGACCATTTGCATTTGTGGTAAATCCTCTTGTAGCATCAATGTCCTTTGAGGATTTTTTTGCAGATAAATGAAGGTTTCCCCTCCTTCCCTCACTACATCTGCTAACAACGTCACTCAGTGCAGCAATAGATCAACAGTTCCTGCTAATCTGTGAAAAGGCAGAGCTTAGAACAAGTGCTTTTTGACATAATTAAAGCTACACTGCCTTCCACTATTCCTGGAAGAAGTACTAGCAGAGTTTCATTAGAACAAGTAAATACAAATAGAGTTCAGCCTGAACAGTTGTCTTTGTTACAAACAAAGCCCATTAGTTAGCAAGGAGAATTTGAAGCAGGGCTGAATTCATGCTGATCTCAAAGCCCTTCTCATATTTAATTTATAAACTGATGATTAATTCAGTGATTAGCTAATTCGCTTGCAGTGATTAATTTAATTCATGTCTTCAGGCTAATGCTTAAGAAAGAAAAAAAACCCTAGCTCTGATAGATGCACATCAATGTCCTTGTGATTAAAAAATGATAATATAATGCCCTGGAGAAAAAAGGAGAAAAGAAAGATCAAGTGAATCGGTAGCATGATCTGTTGTAAGTTCTTGCCTAAGCTGTAGCCGTAATTTTTAGCTGTGATGTTTAAATGTGTCAGTTACTCTAATGATCAATGGTTTGAAAGCTGAATCTAAGGATCCTTCACTGTAGCTTTCCACTGTGTATTTTGAGAATGGCGTTGCTTTAGAGCAGTCCTCCAGCTCTGCCTTTTTCTCACTGGTTTTGCCAGCTGCCTGCCCACTCCCCTCCCTTTCAGCAGCATCTTTCTCATGCCTCACCAAAGTCTTTGACGAGAGCGCTTTGTACTTCTTAAATCCAGGCTGCTTTTCTCTGTTTCCAGCAGCATTTACCTCCTCTTTTGATGCAACATGTAATGATGAGAATGATTTGGGGGATTTCTCTCTATTAGACAAACTGGTCTCTTTTGGGACAGCACTGCTTTTACAGTTTATGCCATTGCTTGGTGATGGAGCTTGATAGCTTCTGAAATCACCCACAGGGCCCTCCTCTCCTGAGCCATCATTGCTGTGCCCCTCTGACTGAGCTGAAGAGCCCAGCTGGTATTTCTCTCTTCTCTCAGGTTCACTCTTCTTTTCTGGACTACCAGTTTTATACCTTGGTTTTTCATCACGTGGTGGTGGAAACTGCTCCTTTTTGAATGTGGCATTATTTTCTTGAGACTTCACAGGCAAATTTGAGCATGGGGACTGGCACATCCCAGAACCTGGATCTTTGCTTTTATCTTTTACAGCATTTGCATCAGGCTTTGTAAAACTTTCAGATACAGTTTCTCGTTTTTCTCCTCCTGGAATATTTTTCTCAGGCTTCAATAATGTACTTGAAGGAGGTAATGGATGGTTACCAGAACCTTGGTATTTATCTTTCTCTTTTACAGCCTTTTGTTCAGGTGACCTGCTGTTCTCTCCTGCTGGTGTCTTTTGCTTCTTCTCTTCTGAAGCACTTTTTTCTTGAGGTTTCAGCACTTCATTTGAAGAAGGCAGCTTCTCAGAATCTGGATCTCTATCCTTTTCTTTTATGGAATTAGTACCAGGCTTCTTAACACCTGAAGAATCTGATGGTTTTTGGTTTTGTTCTGAAATAATTTTTTCTTGAGGCTTAATCAATATTTCTGGTGGTATTGATGGACACTTTCTGGAACTTGGGAGCCCATCTTTCTCTTTTGCAGTATTTATATCAGGTGTCAGAAAATCTTCAAATCTCATTTGCTGTTTGTCTTCTGGAATATTTTTCTCATGCATTTCTGATTTTCTTGATGGAGGTAGCTGGTGTTTCCCAGAAAACTGCTGCTCAATATCCTCTTTTACTACCTCTGTTTCGGGTGATCCAGTGTCTTCTGCTGCTGGTGTCTTTTGCTTCCTCTCTCCTGAAGAGCTTCTGTCTTGACAATTTGGCACTTTGTTTGAAGGAGGTGACTGGAACTTCTCAGAGGTATGTTTAGTCTCTTTTTTGTCTGGCTCAGTTTCAGGCTTTACGAGGTCACCTGGTGACATCTGTTTCTGTGTCTCTAGAGGGGTATTGTCCTCATCAGCCATCTTATTGTCCTGACTTCTATGTATTGGTGGCATTGAATAATTGTTGAAGTCTGACTTGCCATTTTTTAGCCCTTCACTGTCATTTGTATGTTTCATTGGCTCATCTGATGGGTGCAGGTGGTTTTTCCCATTATTGTAATAGATGTTTTCATCTCCTGTCACATCCTGTTTGTGTTCCATAAAATCTCTTGGAGATGCTAGATTCTCCAAACTCTCTCCAGTATTTTTCACTCCTTGAATGTTGGTATCATGCTCTGATGAAGGTAACTGGGATGTTTGAAGACTGTGAGCATCATTCTCCTTTGAAGAGTTATTATCATGGTCCATAGTATTATTTGGTGTGAATACTTGTTCCTGCTCAAATTTATGCAAGACATTTCTCTCTTCTTTCTCCTCTGCCTCCATGCTATCAATTTCATAGTTCATGTCATTATCTGAGGAAAAGGGCTTATCCCTTACGTGTTCAGATATTTTATTTCTACTTTTTGCATCCTTCTTTTGGTCTGAGACCAATTCAGTTGATGAAGGAATCGGGTTCTCTTCTAGCATACCACAACCTTTTTTTTTGGTATCATCTAATATTGGTGTTTGGCTCTTCTCCAAGGGTAATAGGGGATTTCCTGCTAGTGTGGTTTTATTTTCATGTTTTCCTGGCTTTGTGGTTGAATGTGAAAGACAGCTCTCAAGTCTCTGACATGTATTTGTCTCTTTGTCTGTAGAGTTTTCATTTTCTGTTGCATGATCTGGGAATAGTGCTTGGTTCTTAAAATCACACATGGTTTTCTTCTCCCCCATTGTGTCATTCCCACCATTTGTTAACTCATCTGAAGCGGGGTGTGGGTGCTTCTCACAGCCATGGCTGTCATGCTCATGTTCCACAGCACCAGCTCCCTGTCCCACCAGATCCAGAGGTGGAAGTGCAGGAGGATTTCCAAGAGTGCGATGGATACTTTGTCCTGCAATCCCACTCATCAATATTGGTAAAGGGGTTGACAAGGGTGACTTCCATGCCTCAGAGTCAGGCCAGGACATCTCATCTGCCGTGTCCTCTTCATACTCAATGACAGATTCAGATGGCTTGTGGCAGGTCTCCAGGTCAGTTAAAGAACTCCTTTGTAGGGCTTGATTGTTTGCGTGATTCATCACTTCATTTGATGAAGATAATTTGTCCTTTCCAAAATCTTCTTCTGAAATAAAGGAACTGTGCTTCATAAGTTCATCTGGCAAAGGGCTTTGTGTCTTTTCCAAAGGAGAAGAGGTGTCCTCTTCTGCTGCAGCACCAGGCTTTGGCTCCTGGCTGTCATTTGAGGAGAGTGTAGGTTTATTCTGATTTGTGTCTGGAACTTGCATGTCCCCACTGGAAACATTAAAGTTATTTTGTGAGCTAAAATTCATTTGAGGAGGCTGAGGCTGCATGGTTTTTAATTCATTTTGCATTTGGCTGTTGGGTGTCTTATTTTCCTCCTGCTCTGTATTTGGGATATCACTAAAATTTTTGCTAGAAGACATTCTGTCTTCATTGTAAAATGTTGCTTCTTTTTTGGCTTCCTCAGAACATTTGCCTCTTAAATCCAGTGCCTCTATTGGTGGCTTTGTGCCAGAAGCTGGTATTAGGACTGTTAGCTGTCGATCATCCATCGAAGGCTCAACTTCACAAGATGCTGAAAATTTTGGAGAGTAAAATGGCAGTATGTTTTCCAGTGCTTTCTGCTCTGGAACACATTTTTGGCCTGCAAAGAAAGGATCTTTTTCTGGCTCTGTGAGCTCTGTGTCATCTTCATCTGAACAGTATACATACAGAGATATTTCAGGAATCTCTCCTGGTTTAGTATCCTGAGGACATTGTTCATGGGATCCTTCAGCTGTGCTACAGTCAGGTGACTCAGAAGGCAGGCTGTTTTCTTTAACATGTTGCAGAGCGTTGGTAATTCCCAATAGTGAAGATGTGTCAGGCCCAGCTGGCATGTTAGTCTTCTCATAATCTAGAGCACATTCAGGTAAGGGGGGGATGCAGTCTGCAAGAGCTTTGTTTCTGTGAGTAGTTGAAGAGTTATTTAGAACAGGATGAAAGTTGGGTCCCTGTTTTGTGGAATCTGTTTTAGCCTCAGCACAGTCCTTTGCATCTGACATGGCCTCTGGTGCCACCAGTAACTCTTCTTTGTCCTCCTTGTCCTGTGCTGCATTTCCCAGAGTTTTGTCCCCTCTGTGGTCTCTGTTGGATCCCTCCTTTTCCTTCAGTAGTGTGCCATGATCAAAAGGCTGCTTTGTGGCATTATTTTTCGACCAACTCCACGGATGGTTAATTTTGGTAGCCATGCTGAGTCTGGGCACTGGGACCATGGAGCACACTAAATTTTGGGACTCTGGACCCTTTATCCCTGTGGCTGTCATTGCTGCCATGCGCAGCACTCTGACCTCAGGCTTATGAATAGCTTTTCTGCTGGGGAAGTTTTTAGTCTTTTTCTCACCTTTGCGCAAGAGCGATGTTTTCACGTCTGCAGCTGAGCAGAGAGTGCTTTGTTCAAACTTCTCCTTCAGTTTGGACAAGACTGAATTCTTGTTGACTATTTTTGGCAAACTGCTGTTTGCTTCCTTCTTTTTCCAGCTGGGAGACTTCTCCTTGGCTTCTTTTTCCTCAGCAGCTAAAAATTTCTTGAGGATGTTCTTCACTGTGTTTTTTCCAGTGACATTAGTCCACCTTGCCCTGTCACTGGGTGCTGTGCCTGCATCCTCATCCACTGCTTTTCCATCTCCCTTCCTGTCTCTACTTCTGTCCAGCTTGTTACCAGCCCTGCTCACCCACATCTTCTCTTTAATGACCAGTTTGCCAACTTCTCTTCTCTTCTTGGTGTACGGCTCGCGATTGTTGTTTAGAAACCTGGACCGCAAGAGCTGAAATCTGGTTGGATACTGAACCCTGACTGGATCTGGACATGGCTGGTTAAAGCTCACCTGATTTTCTTTACCTTCTGCCCATTTTGTCCTCTTGTTGCTGATCTGTGGATCGCCAGCTGCAAGCTCGGTGACGTATTGCAGCAGGCTGCTGAGAACAGCAAAGGCTCCTTGCTCTGTTGCCATCCTATTGAGCTTCTTCTTCAGCACCAGAGGGTCTATAAGCGTCTTATTATCTCCACAGAAGTGTGCGCTTCTGGTGCTGTGCAAGAGAAAACATAAAGGTCTTTTCAGGTTGTCAGCATTGTCACTACCTTCTTACTTTGCTTTAATGGCATGCTGCTACGCATGAAATGGAAAAAAATCACTTAAATTTAGAACTTCTCAAGAGAGTTGATGTTAGTGGCCTGTTAAAAAGCATGCAAAGTGCTCAACAAGCTTCATGAGGCATGGTGTAGCAGGAGTGTCAGGGCCTCACATTGTCCCACACAGCACTGTCAGCTCTTTCTTCTGTGTTTTGTGGGCAGTGGAAGCACTTAGGGAAGCAAGCAAGTCAGGGTCACTGCATCTCCTCTGTGTCACTAGTCCCTCATTTAGAATTACCATGTCCTAAAGTGAGGGCAACACTGAAGGTATTTTCCTTTCCTGCTAGGTAAAGTATAGGTAAAGGCAAATATGATAAGATTGCAGTTAGCACAAAACCATGGTTCTGTCTCTGGTTTATAACCATTAAAACAAAATATCAAGGCTGAAGGGCCCAAATGCGCCACTGATGGTTTTTACTACTGGTATAGGTTAGAAGTCAGTAGATACCTCCCCAGAATTTAAAGAAAACACAACAGAGTTGCTGTTATTTGCTTTTTGACAATATTCAAATCCCACATCAGGACTATGCTCTTAAATCTGCTTTGTGAAGGCTACAAACACCACAACAACAACCCTGGCAATGCCCCTGGAGGAAGAAGGATGGTATATTGGACCTTTGCTTGTTTGAAGAATCAGGCCCTTGGACAGCTGGGGATTTAGGCAATGCTTTAATTGGTGTGGATCAGTTACTAAATAAAATACTGAACTCAGCATAAAAGCTGGAGCTTGAAGTCAATAACAATAGACAGGACTAGGAGGGAAAAATCAAGAGGTATCAGCTTTCTGACACCATGAAAATCTGGAAGGTTACTTCACCATGCAGTGAAATAGATTCGTGCACAGAATGCAGCTTGCATACCTGCAGGGGATTAATTTTTATGACCAGAAGTGGAATAAAAAAATTCTTTAAATTAAGTCCACATGTAGAAAATGAAGAAAGGCTGCAAAGAGGCTCATCCTTTAGGGAGTGTCAAGCTTGGAAAGTTGGGGAAGGCGCAGCTGTGCCCCAGCAACTGGCACACCATGGCCTCTGAAGGAAACTGGACCTGGCCCCCCACTGCAATATTATGGAGGCTGTTTGCAAAGTGAAGGGCTGGTCCTTGTCCAGTTGGGTTGTGATATTTGGATTCCACTTGGCTGCATTTCAAGTGCACATATTGAAAATTACATCCCTCGGCTGCATTTGCCATCTTGAATGGAAGAAGGTCTATTTATAATGACTTTGTAGGTATTTTTAAAGGCCAATAAAAGAAAAAAGCCTGACAACTGGCCCATGTCTAATGTGACAAACAATACCTTATAGGTTTTGATAGGGAATAAGCACAGGTGGTGTCATCCACCCTTTCCCTTGCCAAATTGACCACAGCCAAAGAGGCAAAGCTTCTATGTCACACCAAGAAGCTCATTTATCCCAAATATGGGAATTTTCAGAATAAAGAAAGAACCAAAATTCAGAGCATAATTGGCTAAAAATATCCAGGTTCATTCCCTCTCCTTGCAAGTCTGCTGATATATTTTAAGTGCAAGCTTACCATCCCTCTCCTCCCTAACTAGTGTCTGGTGTACTCAGAAAAACATGTGGGGCCATCAACCAGTGTGCTTCAGGGTCATCTCTGATCTCAGAACAGCAGTGGAACCAGATGCCCTGCTTCCCCCTCCCTTCTGGACTGCTTTGGTTGCTATAAATGGCCACAGCAAAATACAGACTAGTCTTACTTTCAGCATAGCCAAACTACTATTGATTGTGAAGGAAAGGAGATCAGACCCTCTCTGCTAGGAATATTCACAGTAATTAATCACATATGAGCTATGAAATTCAAACAACTTCGTTAAAATATACTATGAGTGAGCTCTATTCAGGGATTTCCTTTTCCATGTTAGAGTGTTATTATAGGATGCCATCTGAAATGTAGCATTTGTGGGAATACTGCATTGCCTTAAGTACCAAGACCTGTTGCATGGGTTGAGTGTTTGATCCATATTCACCAGCCAGCAGCAGAAAATGAACAAACAGCTATGGCACCTATTTAGGGCATCTGTAGTTCTTCCAAGGAGACGTCACCTGCAAATGACCATCGTGACCATGTAAATCTGAAATGCACTCTGTGCCAGGGCAGTGGTACAATGAGACTGAATTCTGAGACCACCACAGAAAATGGAGGTAGTTGTGAGTCTGCTTTAACTAGTGTTTGGGAAACACCATGGTTTCCCCTCAAGGAAGGAGGCCTAAGTAAGAGGCTTCTCATGTTTGGGAGCATGACTGCCAGGCTAAATCATAATCCCTAATTTTTCCTTACTGTCTTTTCCCAAGTTGCATCCTGCTGCTTTTAAACTATGTCATCTATCAATGAAATATAGTCACCTCTGTATCAACTACAGACAGTAAATTCTAATCCCATTGGGAGTATCCAGACAGATAATCCAAATGCACAGGGGAACCCCATGCCAGCAGAATTCACTTCCCAGGACTGTGAGCTATGCCATATGACAAGGCAGACACTTGAGTTCCTCCCTGATCCTGCAAAACGGCCTAACATGTGCTTTATTTCCCTCACCCCTGTCTTCCCCTGGAGACACTGGTTTCCACTTTTTAATGACTGTGATGTGCCTCAGTGTGCTGCTGGTTATGGAAGCTGGTTTATGCCGCTGCATGGTTTTCAGTGTCTGAAGGACAGACTGCTTGGACCTGTAGAGGAGGCAAGGCCACCTTCAAAAGGTTCGTGTCCTCTTGGCCTACAAATAATTAAGATGCATAAGACAGGCTGTTTAGTTACTTATTTATAGGTTCTTTGGGGACACTTATCACAGGCAGCATCAGAGTGGTAACAGGCTAATATGCTAATGGGCAGCAGTGCAATCCTATCCCGCTGGCCAGCCTGTCCCAGAGAAACCTCTGCAGTGGATACTCCTGTGTCATGGGCAGAGGAGAGCTGAGGTGCCAAGGCCAAGGGACAGGAGCTGGCACTCTCTCCCAGACCTGCCCGCTGCCTCCTGCACCAATGCCCTCCAGCCTTTCCATTCAGTTAGGGGTACTGATGCTGCTCAGTTGCAGAGCATGGTGACATCCCATGGCATTTGCTAAAAGCATACAGTTATAGGATTTTCTGGTTTAGTGTCTCTGGCATGGAAAAGAGAAGGCCCTGTCTCCTGATCCTGAATTTCATGTTAAATATCTGATCATCGTTTCAGACACTCTGGCTGCCCAAAGGACTGGCTGTTGCAGGGACAGTGGCATGGGCAGAAGGAAACAGCACTATGGAGGCCTCATCAAAAGCCAAGGAACAGATTGAAAACCACTGTCCTGCAAAAGCTGTCAGAGATCAATAAGATTGGTCTGCCTTACTGTTGGTAGGCTCTGGGGAAATGGATCTGAGCTGGAGTGTGCAAAGTGCTGCATCTCATGGCCTTCCTCATCCCTGGGCATCCCTACCTGTCTCTGTGTGGTGTTTGGTCCAATGACCTGCCCCTAGATAAGGAATACAGCCAGGAGCAGCTCTGCCCACTCAAAACGATGCACAGGCCTTTTGAGTGTGTTCAATGAAATGATGGCCAAGGCACTGCTCACCCCAACAGCTGCAGAAATGGTGCTTTAGAGGTTCAGTCCTTTTTTTAAATGAGATTCTCTTACTGATCTCTGAAACACTACTTGGTTCTGCCCAGGTTGGATAGAAGGTAATAAATAAAATGGGAAAGATTATGAATCCCCTTAATATTTGTCAGTGATTATTTTTTTTCCTAAAGGAAGAAGAAAAGCCAAAGTACTAGAAAAAGTCCTACCTTATGCAGAATATGTTCTTCTCTCTTCTCTATTGCTGAATTTATTACAGGAGTGCTAGAGGCATCCTAAACTAGAAGCAATGTTTTCAGAAAGTCTTGGTATTCTCTGGCACCAAAAGCTACTGACACAATTGCTGCCTTTGGTTTAACCCATCTCCAAAGCAAACAAGAAAGCACCTTGCGAAGCTGCCAAGAGAAAACATGCTACAACAAGAGAGCGAGAGGTAACGCGCGGTACGGAAAACCTCCCCATACGGACATGGTCATGCAGGCTGCTATTCCTACTGACAGGCATCACCTGCTCCTGTGTCTGCCACATTACATCCCAGTGATGAATCCAGCAGTGGCTTACACGGAAAAAGGCGTAGGAAAGTACTCATGTATTTTTAGCTATCTTTTTAAAACACAGTTCAGCAGCTGGAGAAAGACAGGAGAAACCAACACCACGTAGGCAATCACACATGGTGGAAATTAGAAAGCATTACGGAGACCTCACTTTCTGAACTTCTAAAATAAAACATGAGGTTAAATGTGGGAACGATTTTTGAGCTCACTTCTGCGTTATTTCATTGAGGATTCCATATTTGTGCCTGTGCTGCTCTTTGGGGGCATTAGGATCTCCTTCATCAAGCCTACTGTTCACTCTGTTTATGGTATGCAACTTCTAACCCAATCGTAGTTTGCTGGTTTTCTTGAAAAAATTAGAAAATAAAAGAAAAAGGAAAAATTAAAAGAAGGGGGGAAAAGGGGAAAGGCAAAGGGAAAGGAAGAGAAAAAAAGGATGAAAAAAAGGTAAAAAAATAAAAATGAAAAAAGAAAAAAAGAAAAAAGAAAAAGAGAAAAAAAAGAAAAAAGGAAAAAAATGTTGAAGAAGAACTTGGAGAGGAAAGGTGAGGTGAAGCCAGGCAAGGAAAGGCAAAAAAGAACAAAAGGTAATAAAAGGAAGGGGGGTGAGGAAAAAAAAGGAAAAAGGTAAAGCAGTTGTAACTTTTCTTCTTGGGGTTCTCACAGTGCTCAGACTTGTGAAATGTATCACAGCCTAACTGCTGACCTATTACAACTGCTTGAAGACCTCAGCCAAAAATTCTGATACTGATACAGCAACATATAATCTGTTCAATCTAAAAATAAAGACTGATACTTAGAAAATAGTGCAAGATTAATTTATTTACAGATACTTCAGCAAGTTATATTTTAGAGAAACTTTTGTTCTGAAGACTGAATAAGAATAAAAACATCATTCGGAAATTTTAGAAACATTGATCAGAAATTTTAGACACACTGATGCTTTGCTTGTTCCTTGGAGGTATTTTTAGTGTTGGCTTTTCCTTTTCTGGAAGCTTCTAATGTAACAATACCTTACACCACAGTGCTGATACAGGGATCAGTGATTCATTAAAAGCTAATCCATGAGACATTAGGTTTACAAGTGTCACAGACACATTAGATTTGAGAACAAGGAGGGACACAGTGGTGAAAGGATTGTCAAATATACAGAGAATATCCCCGTGAGTGGGTACTACCATTAGTTTTGCAAGAAAGCATTAGTTCTGAAAATTAATTTCATATGTGTAATTACTGGAAACAGCTGTTTAGGAAGTGGTATTATAGCAAGTTAGACTGAAATCAGTCAAAAGATGTTTTATTCATTTTTCGCCATTTGAGGTTTAAGCAGCACTCCTTATATTTAAAAATCCCTACATCTGTAAAAAAATCCACAAATATCACGTATATCTAATCAGTCTAATGATTCTAATCAGTCTAATAACTCAGCTGTCTTCACTTGCACGCAATGTACATAGAGCTCTTCAGACTAACTCAGGGCTACTTCCTTCACTATGAATGCCAGTCAGATATCTACAGGATTTGATGTAATCTTTATAGAAAGAGAAAATGGCAGAAACTGCTTTACTTTTCCTCCATGGACAGTCGGTAAAGGTTCTCGCCCAAGAACTCGAGCCTCTCCCTTTGTTCCAGGTCCTGGTACAAGCCCTTGGGCACCTTGCTCAGGCCGTAAACCAGGCCGAACAGGCAGCCAGCAATGGAGCCCGTCGCCGCGCTCTCCCCTGCAGGTTTAAACACAATTGCAGTGCTCTCTTAGTGTCACCTGCACACACACAGCCAAAAACTGCCCTGCCTGGAGGAGGGAGCATTCCACACTGATGGAGTGCAGTGAGGGCCTGTTGGGTCTTTCCTAAAGGCTAGGGATGCCTAAAGTGATGCCAAGGCCAGCACATGGAGGTGCCACTGTGCTGTGCATTCCTGGGCTGGGAGCTCACTTGGTTTTGGGAACATCTACACCAGCACAGCAGCTCCTGCAGGCAGCTAGCCATTGCTAAGAGCAAAGGAGGGAATAATAAGGGTGTCTACTGTACAACAAAGGTTCTGGACTGGAGAGTGTCTCTTCCCTCTGCACAGCACAGCACAGCACAGCACAGCACAGCACAGCACAGCACAACACAGTGTCTAAAACACCCAGCCTTGCTGAGGAGCACTGGTGCTCTGTGCATGCAGTGCCTGTGGGTTTGTGCCTGCCAGGGTCTGCAGTGGGGGGCTGTGAGCTCTCACCACTGTGTTGGGGCAGGTGGGAGACCCAGAGCCTCTGCAAAGGGCCCACACCACACAGGGAGGGAGTGGGTGAGTCAGGGCTGGGGTCCTACCCCCCAGCAATGCTGGCCTTCCCGACAGCCCAGCATGATGCGTCTGCTAATGAAAAAGTTCCCTCTCACAGAGCTGTAGAAGTACTTAATTTTGGCTGGCACTTGTTTGGGTGCTGTATTGTTTTTCTCCCTAACTTGGTTTCATTACATGCAGCTAAAAGTGCCCATGTTCTGTCAGGATCTGCCAGCCCTTTAAAAGCTGTGCTGGACTTAGACCTCACGTTCCTCTGGTGGAACCATGAGATGTAGATGGGCCAGCATTTGAAAAGTGCTGTAAATGGCTTGTGTGGCAGCTGCTGCCAGAACAATGGGGTTTAAAGTCTAAAACCAGAGGTGAGGACGTTACGGACAACATGGCGGATTGGCCCACAGAGGCAGCTGACAGCCAGGAGGGCTCCATCCCAGCCCTGGCGAGGGAGCAGGGGTGGGAGGCACAGGGGACCCTCACCTCCGTGGAACATGGAGCGGTTGCAGAGCTCTGTCCAGTCCCCACCACAGCCCATCAGGGCGTCGTACGCGATCATGGGCGCGTCGTGGCCTCGTCGGCCCCCCCGGCCTTCGGAGCTCCAGCGCCGGTACGTCTGTGGGAGAGAGCACGGGCAGGGCAGGGCACTGGAGCTGCAGGCCTGGGGCATGGCCACGCCAGGCTGGCACCTCCCCTGCTGAGTGGGAATAGCTCATTGGGCTGGGAAAGGGCAGCCGGGGCTCTGCTGAGGCTCCTCTGGTGCGGCGTGGGATGAGCCGCAGTGGCAGCTCCAGCAGTCCTGGTGATGCCTGAGGTGCCGGTATAAGCCTGCACTCCAGCTTAATGCACCAGGCCAAGAGGTTGGTTTAAGCAAGCCAGAAATGCCAAAAAGTAGGTCAAGATAGATTTCAAATTCACATCCTAGAAATTCCTTATCATAGAAAAGATTATGGTTGGAAAGGACATACTTTGTCATTCCTCTTACTGCCTCTGGGAATATTCTCAACACCTCTTGTCACGCATTTGCAAACGTTTCAATTAGCCAAATTTTCAAGAGGGGTGAAAATGTTCTGATCAAGTAATTTGTTTAGGGCCTTAGTTTCAGACTATATAATTCAAATCCCTTTCTCTGTCTTTTTCTTGCCAAGCCTTTTCTCTCCTCTTCTAAAAGCAGTTGTTGGACAAAAGGAAAAATAATTTGCAAATGTAAGAAACAATTTTTCCCCAGGAGAAGAAGGCAGAAGAAAGAACTTCAAACCCACAGTTTGGAGATTTGCAAAGAAAAATTGGATTTTCTGTAGAGCAGAAAATCCAATTTGTTATTATCTCAACATGAATAAATTTATAGTTAAAAAATATTGTCCTGTTAAGGACAGCTTTAAGGGCAGCTTTATTTCCTGAAGTTTAACTTACATCATGGCAAGCTGGATGTTGCTGGTTGGCTGGCTCTTGGCTTCTGCATCATGTATGAAGTGTTGGCATTTCTCTCTATTCACTTTCACCTGAGCTATTTCATACTTGCTTGAGGTCTATCTATACATACATCAAACATGGCAGAGTCGGACTGCAGCTTCAGTCTATGTTTCTTTCTTTTTCTTTTTCTTTTTTTTTGACAATATAGAGAGATTATTTATGCCTTTATGCCATCCTCTGCCCCGTGCAAATTTCCAGCCCTATTGCTGCAGTTTGGATGCTGGTGGAGCAGCACAGACAGACTTTCAATGCTACCAAAGGCAGGAGGGCTCAGCACGGAGAGGCTATCCTGGGTGTGCAGCCAGGCTGCTCAAATGTCACTCCAGTTATTCCTCCTCATCCTGATGCTCTGCACACGTCCGATGTCATCTCGCCTTGCTGAAATTGCTTTACATTGCAGATACCTGTCCTGGGACTGAACCTGCCAGGACTTCACTGCCCCAAAGCAGCACTTCCCAAACTGTTTCCTTCTCCTTTCAGCTCCAGCATCCTGTGCTGTGCTGTGGCACCAGCCCAGCTTTCCTTGGGTGGGCCAGCAAGGACCTAGGACTTGGATGGGGTGTTAGCATGCACTCTCCTGCTGAAGGCACCGAGCTGCTGCCAAGCCCAGGAGGTAATTCACATGTCCCCTCCTTGCTGTCAACCCCTGCCATCAGTAATTACAGCTGCCTCTGACTTCCCCACCCTTCAGGAGCTGACCCCTTGCTGGCTAGCACTCCTTTTCCATTGTTTTTATTTTCCCTCCTTTTTGGGTTCTTTCTC